GGGCGCGGGAGGACAGCAGGCCCGGAAGAGGCTCGAAACGCCGCCGCCGCCGCCGAGAGCGTGGAGGGAAAGAGGAAGAAACGAAACAAGTGGACCTCGTAACCCGTCAGCTCGAACTACTTCGGTTCGGCTGCCAACGTCAGCACTGGGAGAACTCCGCCCCGCGGAAGTGCGGGCCCCACCGGCAGAAGGGGGAGAGGGAGGGTGAAGGCGGGCGCAGGGGCCCTGGCCCAGCCCTCCCAAGTTCTGTAAAAATGTGTTCCCCCCGCCCACACACACACCCCCAGAGCTGCGCGTGCGCCTTGAGGCTCCTTCTCTGCTACAGGCTCCAAACGGAAGTGAATTGGCCCCGAGGCTGGTGACCCCGGAAATACTAAGTTGCCGTGCCCACGCCGGAGTGGACGTGTAGAGGCCGGGTTTGGCCCTTGTAAACTCTGACCCAAGTGCATAGTTTTCTCTTTCCGGGACGAGATGGCGCCGTCCACGCCGCTTCTAACAGGTGAGTTCTGAACCAGCAAGGGTCTGTTTCTTCAGAGCAGTTTCTTTTTTGTGTCTTTGTCCTTGGGCTTGGAGTCCGATACGGCCTTTATCTCGTAGATTGCGAAAGAGCCGGAGGGCCCTTAGGGTTTTTTCGTGTTGCGTGGCAATCGGAAGTGAAGTCCCCGCCTCTGCGCTTCTGCGTTTCCTTTCCCTTTTGCTCATCCATCATTCTTTCCTGTCCTTTCAAGTTCTGCGGGATTAGAGGAAGGGTGATAACTGAAAATGCTAGTTGAATTTGTTACCCTGGGTTTGCAATCCTAGTATTGTAGGAACCCTTATCTGTTGACAGGCTTTGTTGACCGTGTGAAATCATTTAGCTTTGTAATAAGGAAACAATATAAACACATGGCTAAGTTCACTAGAATGACCACACAGGAAGAACACGTGAATTTAAGTAATACCAAGTTTTGTACTCCTCGCCTTGATGAAATTTGTAGGACTTGAAAGAGTGGAACTGTGGCAGTACGTGTGGTCTGGGATGGTAGCAGTGAGCATTATAGAGATAATATAGCACTGTTTGGTGTTGAAATGGTTATGAGCATTTTAGCATTAGAATATTAGAGGATTCCTGAGATTTTGAAGCTGACGCAGAGTTTATAATGTTGGAGAAGATAATAAACTTAGTCTTGGACAGTGTTAGGGAAGACTCTGGACTAGGGTAATGGCTGGGAGTCTCAAGTGAGCATCAAATAAGGAGGGGGCAATTGAGAGGGGGAAAAGACGGCTTTGATTAAATCACCAGCGGCTTAATAACTTATGTAGAAGGAAAAGAAAGTCATTAAGAGACAGGATGTTTACTTTTATGGAATAGGATTATTTCTTCCTGAGACATGAAAGGAACCTTTTTAACTTTTCAATTCTTCTACATTTTAAGATCGACATCAAGCATGTGAAACTCAAAGGCTAACACCGGCCAAATAAACAAGGTTTAAGTTGATGTGGGCCGCAAAAAAACCAAAAGCTTCAATTTTCATAGAAACATAGGTTTATTTCGTTAGAGACATGCTGAATACAAAGGGCTGAAATAAAGGAGTAATCCTTAACATAAAATAATAGAACGTTTTAATAAAAATTAATATTTTTTCTTGAACATTAACTTACCAGACACTGAATAACTGCACAAATTAATAAGTGTAACGCAAATAAACCTATTTTTCTTGTTCTCTGAAAGCGAAATATTTCCTGTTGTGCACACCAAACAAGTCAGTCCAAAACTAATGCGGCAATCAGCTGCTAAAATATTCGCTGCTAGTATTAATGGAGAGAAATGGTGCGCCTGCACATAAGGTGCGTAAGGGAAATGAATGCAACACGATTATAGTAATCAGTCATTAGTAAACGTTCTAGTTTATTAATAATTATGTATAACAGGATATTGTAAAAATTAAGTTAGGAAATTTTTATTAAAATGTTCCTTATATACCGTTATATTGGCTGGGCCGCAAAAATATTCATTGTGGGCTGCATGCGGCCTGCAGGCCCTGAGTTTGACAAGCTTGATCTACATTATACTACATTTTAAGATCTTTGTTGTTATGCACTGTGCCCACTCACATTCAACCTGTCTACTATAGTTTATTCATCAAACATTTATCAAATACTGACTGTAATTTGTTAGATAATATGCCAGGCAGATACTATTTAAAAGGCATAACTATATAATTAAACTGGAGGCCCGGTGTACAACTTCATTCACAGGTGGGGTCCCTTGGCCTGGCCTGCGATCAGGGCCGATTGGGGCCATGGGAGGTTGGCTGGCCGGGGGGAGGGACTGCAGGAGGTTGGCTGTGGGAGCACACTGACCATCAGGGGGAAGCTCCTACGTTGAGCGTCTGCCCCCTGGTGGTCAGTGTGCGTCATAGCGACCTATCGACTGGTTGTTTGGTCGTTCAGTCGCTTAGGCTTTTATACATAGAGATTAGGTTTTTTTACTCTAGCTTTATAAAGGTAATTTGTATGCTACTCACAATTTTAGAATACTAAATGCTTAAGGGTGCATATTTCAAAGGTGTGCTAATGTAGATGCACAGAAACAGTGGACAGGGATTGCTTAAGGCAAAGATAAACCTTTTACTAAAATGTTATATGTCTGGGCATGACTACCCACCGTGACTTCCCAGTTAGCAATTTATGATCTGATCACCCTGTGAGATTACTTTCTATAGGACTCCTCTTTTTCATCCACATGATTAATCTTTAAACACTTTTAGTATAGATATTTTAGTTAACAATAGATTATTTTACTTCAAGAATATTTTTAAAACTTATACTCATGGGATTTGTAGTTGTGAATAATTTAGAGATTATCCAGTAAATTGTATTAGTCATGACTTAATAGGAAATGACAAGGGGATTTTTTAAAGAAAACTCTATGTAACCTTAAAGCTTCAGTATTATTGCATCTAGGTATTTGCATGACTCCAAAAATCTGTTTTTCTCATCCCTGTCTCTTGATTTCTTCACAGTTAAATTTGTTCTCAGTCTAACATTCTACATGATAGCTCAAGGTTTGCATTCAACCAAATCAGTAGCCCCAAAGGAAAGAGCACATTGTTGCTAGTCACAAGGCTGGCTGTCTTTAGCTTGGCTTGACTCTTGCTCATCTTTGATTCAGTCATTTTTAAATCAGATCACCAGGACCAAGTTATATTCTCACCCCTGGATAGTTTTCAAAGGAAAATTAGAGTAATCTAAAAAGGGGGGATTGGATGCCAAACAACAGTGGCCTTACACCAGGGGTCCTCAAACTACGGCCCGCGGGCCACATGCAAATACAAATATTGTATTTGTTCCCATTTTGCTTTTTTACTTCAAAATAAGATATGTGCAGTGTGCATAGGAATTTGTTCATAGTTTTTTTTTTAAACTATAGTCTGGCCCTCCAACGGTCTGAGGGACAGTGAACTGGCCCCCTGTTTAAAAAGTTTGAGGACGCCTGCCTTACACGAAACCCATACTGTCTAGTCAGCTTGCTTAGTTGAGGCCATTGAGATAATTTATTAAAAATTAAGCCCTAACCGGTTTGGCTCAGTGGATAGAGCATCAGCCTGCGGACTGAAGGGTCCCAGGTTCGATTCCGGTCAAGGGCATGTACGTTGGTTGTGGGCACATCCCCAGTAGGGGTTGTGCAGGAGGCAGCTGATCGATGTTTCTTTCTCATCGATGTTTCTAACTCTCTCTATCCCTTTCCCTTCCTCTCTAAAAAATCAATAAGATATATTTTTTTAAAAATTAAGTCATTTTTTTCTAAATTGATATATACTTCAGTGAATGTAAAGGTTGAAAAAAGTATCATTTATAATAATAAAAGCATAATATGCAAATTGACTGAACGGCCGAACAGCAGAATGACCATCCGACGACCATTTGGATGACCACGCTATGACACCCACTGGTGCCAGGCCAGCCAAGGCAGGTGCAATGCAATTGTTCCGGGCCCTGCTATCGCCCCATGATCGCCCTGCAGAGGGAGGTCCAGGCCACTGGCCAGTGGTGCGATCGATCAATTGGGGGACTCCATGATCGCCCCAAAGCGGGAGGCCCAGGCCACCGACCAGTGGGCTGCAGCAGGTGGGCAGGGCCTACCTCTTTGGGGAGATCGATCGTGGGGCTCCCGGACTGTGAGAGGGCACAAGCTGGGCTGAGGGACATACACACACACACACACACACACACACACACACCCCTCCAGTGCACGAATTTGTGCACCGGGCCTCTAGTATTATAATAATCACCATATCCCTGCCATAGGACTCTTGTTAGTTGAAGCCCAGTAGTTTTCGCATATTAACTCAGGCCTAGAGCAATAAATTGTACGTGAGTATCTGGAAAGGATAGTAAGTTTTAAAAATATGTGTGTACAATATTTAATATAATTATTTTTAAATAGTTATTTTTTTTTTGTGAAAGTCTGGCACTTATTTGCTTAATGAAAAAAACTTTTTAAATTCTAGGTTTTTCTTTCTGATTGGATTATCACCACATTCCCTTTGATTGAAAAGGGAAATCATTAAAAATAAGAAATCATATCAAGTCTCAATATATTATTAAGGTAGCACCACATTCTATTGACTGTTTCATTCAGTTACTTCTAATTATTGAAGAATTTGTTTTGAATTTATGTTTTTGCTTTTGTTAACTTGTAAAACAGTTTATATTCTGTTATGATCCTTGATTTTGTGTTTCTTCTAATAAACTTTGTACATCTGTTTATTTAAATTTGTGTAAAAAGTTGCTCAAACTGATTAAATCCAGTAAAGTATCTTTAGTGGTACCAAAATCTCTTGCAGTACTTTCTCATAGTTATGCTTCTATGAAGGGGGGTGTGAAGTAAAATACTTGTTTTGAATAATGTTTATATGTATGAACAAAACTGGAACAACTCAATATGATTTTTGTGATGGTTTCAGTGGATAATTAGTCCCCCTAAAATAGATATATCTATCGTAAAGCATCATGTACAAAGAAGGTTGTCTAATTTAATGAGTACTTTTGTCTCATGGAATATGTTCTTTACTTTATTACAAAAATGTTGGTCTATTCAATTTTTTATTTTAATTTAAAATATTTGAAGAATGTTGCAAAACTTATAATTAGTTTCATTTCTTGTATTGTGAACAAACAATTACCCCAAAAGACAGGCTTTTTATGGACCCTTTATTTTGATATAATTTAAGTATAAGAAGTTGCAAAAACAGTAAATAGAGTTTCCATGGACCCTTCACCTAGTTTTCCCCAATGAAGTCTTATATAATCATAGTACGTTATCAAAACCAAAAAATTGACACTAGCACAGCAGTATTTACTAAACTACAGTCTTTGTTTGAATTTCACCAGTTTGTGTGTATGTGTGTATAGTCTAAGAAAATTTATCATGTGTAGATTGATGTAATCACCACTGTCAGAATACAGAACTGCTCCATCACCACAAAGAAAATACCAACCTTTTATGTAACACCT